CAGGAATTTATTCTCTCACAGTTCTGAAAGCCAGAAGTCTGATATCCAGGGGTCAGCAGGGCCGGTTCGCTCTGGGGCTTCTGAGGAGAATCTGTTCTGGGCCTGTGTCCCACTGCTGGGGCTGCCGGCCTCCCCAGGCAGGCTCGGCTTCTGGCACAATCACTCCAACCTCTGCCTGCATCCTCACATGTGTCCTCCCTGTGTCTGCTGGCCTCGGTGTCCAAATGTTCTCTTCTCATAAGGACACCAGCTCTTGGATTAGGGCCCACCCTCATCCATTGTGACCCCATCTTAACCTGAGTCCGTCAGCAAAGACCCTATTTCCAAACAAGGTCACATTGACATACATCTTTGTGGGCGAGGGTGTAATTAATTAATTAAACCCACAACAAGAGGCATTTAGCTCAAAGGAAAATAAGACACAGGGCTGTGGCCACCGTCTTCAATATCTGGCAGGCTCTCCCATTTAGAAGGATTAGACATGGTCTGCGTAGGGAAGAAATGGGTCCAAAGTGTCAATGCTCCCAAAAGACAGACTTGGGCTCAAAACAGGACGGATGCTCTCTCAGAGCTGTCTGAGCGGGACTGGCCATCCTGGGTGGGGAACTCCTGGACCATACTGGAGCCTCTTATCTCTGGTGTAGGGGTACTGGCCCGGGGCGGGGGTGGGGGGGCGGAGGGGTGGACTAAATGATTTGTTTTTTTTTAAATAATTGTGTTTATTTTAACTTGTTGACAGTTTGCTTTATTTATTTATTTATGGCTGTGTTGGGTCTTCGTTTCTGTGCGAGGGCTTTCTCTAGTTGTGGCAAGCGGGGGCCACTCTTCATCGCGGTGCGCGGGCCTCTCACTCTCGCGGCCTCTCTTGTTGCGGAGCACAGGCTCCAGACACGCAGGCTCAGTAGTTGTGGCTCACGGGCCCAGTTGCTCCGTGGCATGTGGGATCTTCCCAGACCAGGGCTCGAACCTGTGTTCCCTGCATTAGCAGGCAGATTCTCAACCACTGCGCCACCAGGGAAGCCCTGGACTAAATGATTTTAAAGTCCTGGCAGCCCTAAGACTCTGCCATCCACACAGGGGTCCTCAGTGACCTCAGCATCACCCAGTGCCAGCCTGGCCACCCTCAGACAACCCTCGGTTCGATACCGTGCTAGCCTGGCCTCATCTGCACCGGGCACCTCCTGCCCTCTACAACAAAGCAGCTCTGTCTGTCGTTTTCTGCCTTTTGGTGTCTCAAGGAAAGGTGGAGCTTGCACATTCAGAGCCAACAGGATAAAGGCATCAATCAAGTCGGGAGACAAGGAATTCTAGGAGTTAAACCCTGCGGAGAGCTTCGATATCCCCAATTCTAAGGGCATTTTTCACGGCCGGACATCACCCAAGGGGCATGTCCCGAGGTCAGACCGGCCGAGGCCGAAGGCCCACAGACCAGGGTCAAAATGGCTAAGAAAAATATCCTCGGTTTATTTAGATGCAGTGAAGATTGCCCCAAGAATAATGTTTACATAAGAAATAGCAATAACATTGCAAGTTAAGCTTGTTTATTTAAAGAAAAAAAAGAGAAGCAGCAGCAAAATCTTGTTTCTGATGAGAAAGAAGCCTGTTCTTCAGAACTGCCTTTTCTTTTCCCCAAACGAAAAATCTACACCACTCACCTCTCCACAGGGTCCCTCAGCATGACGATCAGTTTCGCCTCTGGCTGGAAAGCGTGGATGAAGTCCTGAGTCAGAAAGGGGGGCTCACCATCCGTGCTGTTGTCATAGAAGAACGTCCAGGCATTGTTATCCCACATGGTGGAGGCGCTGGCCTCCCCTGGAAACAGAAAACGAGTGAGCAGTGCTGAGTTACGGGCTCCCACAGAGCAGCCTGAATTAGGGGCCAAACCTGGCTGTGATACCTCCTTAAATAGGTGTTAGCGGGTGAGCTGGTCTGCCACGCCGGCAGACGGGACTCCGGGAAAAGGAGGCTGATGACCACCCTCTGCCGCCGTGTCACCCCCTCCCCTCCGTGACCTCCATCTGGAGATCGAGGTGATCCACGCAACACTGAGCATCCCTCCTCCTCCCAGCTCCTCTCTCCAGGATGTGCCAAAAACCCTCTACTAGCATCTGGCCTCCCAATTTCACGATGTTTAACTTGCTAACGGTGCATAGCTCTGTGGCTTTTTAAGGGCCCGCTCAGACTGTACTAGATGGTTCCCTTCAGAAAGTGTCAGGGATGAAGGAGAAGTTCGGGGATCCGAACTTCTGGATTAATCATTTTGCTCCTTGAAATTGCTGTGGCGGCCTTTTTCACTGATCATTTACTTTTCTCCCTCTCAATGACAGTTATTGCTTCCGGCATTGTTTTTAATCCTCATTTCTCATTAGGAAACTGCATGCAATCTGCATCAGTCTTCCCTTGAAATCACAAGGGTCAGTCCCAGCGCACACTCTAAGACCAAACGAGAGGAAGGCTTTGCGGGAAGGCTCATGCGACCTCGGTCCTGCGCGCCCACCCACCCCATCACCCTGCACACAGGTGGCGTTCACTCAGTGCTGACTGCGTGTACAGGAAGCTGGCTCTAGCCCCTGTTTGATCACAGTCTGTGTGAATGAAGCATGATAACGTTAAACACACATTCTAGGACAGGGGAGAGAACAAGACACAGACATTTCAACATTTCTATCTCAGATAACTGAACCAATTCCCTGATGTTTTTTTCAGGACAGTCTCCAGAGATTTAGAAAGAAAAACAAATCAATCAATTAATTATACATTCGATTTCCCAACATTGTACATGGGATTATATGATACATCTCCAAGTCACTTATTCAGTGAAAATCTGAGCCAAAAGACTAAGTCTCTTTGATCAGTGATGAGCACATCACAGTCATGCAGAGTGTTAGCAGGGCCCTATTTATTCTGTTGGATGTGCAATCATGTCCAGGTGAGCATTACTATTCTGATGTTTATTTCTATTTTTTTTAAGAGATAATACCATAGAATACAGAAGAAACAAGTCAATCAGAAGTCCTTTGAAAATTCTACTCACAATGAATAAGGGGATATTAGGACAAGGGAAGTATCTAAAACTAAGCTGGCACAAATTTTGTCAGCCCCATAAATGAACTGGTTCTATGCTTGTCCATCCGCCCATCCATCTATCCATCCTTCCTTCATTCATCCTTCAACCATCCAGGCAGAAAGCTCTGATTTGGTGTCTAATATGTGCCCGGCACTACGCTTGGCATTGGGGATAGATGCAGGAAACAAGACAGACAATCCCCTTCCCTCTCAAACCTTACAATCTAGGGGAAGATCAATAATTCAATAAACAGTCACAGCCCCAAGTGAGCACTTTGACAGGGCAGAGCCGGGTGGCCATGAGAGCAGAGGCAGGGACCTTTCTGTCCGCTGGGGAAAGGTTCTCTGGCCTTTCCCCAGCCCAAAGAACCCAGCCACTTGAGTCCTTCACGACTCCAGCCATTAGCCCAGACCATTGAGAAAAGCCCCTCTCTGACCCATCAACCAAGATGAAAAAAGACCAGTATGCTTCTACCAAGGATCTAACGAAAGAAGCTGAAGCAGAGTTAAATCACATTTCAGGGCTGGGAAGAGCCCAGAACTGATCTGGCCCAACAAGCCCATTTTACAGATGAGCAGACTGAGTTCACGAACACAAAGACCGACGTGTCACATGGCACAGAGCTGGCTGGTGGCACGATCAGAGCTGGATGCCAGCTTTCCATCTACCGTAAAATTCAATAAACTCTGCTTCAGGTAAACATCAGAGCTGTAGATATATTCCTTAGTTTTCATTTCTAAATCCAGAAGTAAATAAAATTAGGAAACCAAACTGAAGCCTTCCTTTTTCATTCATTATCTTAGGCTCTATTTCCTGACCCTAGGATGCCTATTTTTAGCTCTTTCTTAAGAACATGAGATTTTCCCAGAGGCATATGGTATGGGAGTCACAGTCAAAAATTAATTAAGATTTGTAATTTGGGGTGTTAGAACTCAAGGCTGCAAGAAAATAGCTAGTAGCCAGTTCACACTGGGTGAGAGGGTGTGATCTCATCTGGCTCCTAGGACCTGATCTCTTTGAGTTAAAAATAAATAAATAAATTGGGGCTTAGGCATGTAAGCCTGTCCCCCTGGATATGGGAGTCAAGTAAAGATCCATCTTTCAAATGGTTGATTACAATTCCTTTTAGTCACGAATAGAGTCACCGAATTTGGAGAATCAAAATATAACAGATTTAGGAGAATAAAAAAATAGATCACTGCCTCAGGTAATCAATTTAAGCAAAATATGTGATTCGATTTCTCCCTTTCAGAGGTGTAAGTGGATAAATGTCTTCTCCTAAGCTGAATCCAATAGAGAGAGTGAATAAGATATGTTTTTTATAAAACGCTCTTGTGAATTTTTTTTTAATGACTAGTAATCAAACCACCTCATTTTGAATGTCTAAAGGCATTAGCTTGACAGGGCCTAAGCTTTTTCAACAGCAATTAGTCACCCACGATGCAATAGGGCGGTGTCTATTTCAGGAGAGGCCACCTCCGTCTTTGCAGGGTCCCAGCGGCCAGGGAGTACAAAAGCCACAAGAATTAAACTGATGACTAACTGGTTCATTTTACATTCACGATCCCCCAACCAAACTTACTCAGGTGGGTGTATCATGAAAAGAAGTCAAGCATGCAAGCTTAATTCAAGTAAAAGCAAAGAAATGGCAACTGTTCCAAAAAGCCAGTTCAGGTGCGCTTGAGTCTCCACAGAACTAGAGAGTCTACTAAACATTTCTGCTTTACTGAAGTTGCAGGAGCACTATGAACCTTTTACACGGGGGTGAGAGTGATGGCTAGCGGGGAAGTGCATGCTCAGCAGCCGCTGGCAGGCATCATGCAAATGCTCGCAGGTGCAGTGAAGCCCGGCCTGGCCCAGGGCAGAAGCAGGGGGACCCTCGCGGGAGTTACACGGAAGCCATACCGATAATGATTCTATTCATCTTGCTCTGTTCCTTTGCAGAGCTGGCCTGCAGTCCTTGATGAATCTGGTGTGCAGCCAGGTCAAAGAGGTCCAGATAATCTTCCACGGGATAGCGGTCCCGCAGACCATCTCTCAGGCGGACGATTCCTACGAGAACCAGGAAGCTGAGTTAGGACAAAGCTGCCACGGCTGGGCTGATGGCTTCCGGGGAGTGACCACGGGGGATGGAAAGGTCCAAGGGCCCAGCTGCAGCAGCCAAGGCTCAGCCCAAGGAGCTGCAAGAGAGGGAGGGGCGTCTGTGAATGGGCCATGAGCTTTTAACCCACGTGCACTTCGAGGGGTGGAATGCACCACCGTTAAGCTGCACGGTAGCCACTGAAAGGCTGGCATGCCTGTTCAAGAACTGTAATTGAGTCTACTTGGAGGGACAGAGAGTTTGGGGCTGGTTAACATGTGCACCAGGTGAGGCCCCCCAGGGGCGGGGCAGCAGTGGTGTCAGGATACACACACTGGATCAAAAGAAAAGGCAGCCCATCAGAGGGGCAGCATCCTTTGATGAGTCTTCCACACCAGGGCCGACCAGCACCTTCCTGAGGTTCTATTCCATCAAGGAGTCTGTCCATCTGTCCAAACAATAAGGGGAATCGATGGTCCCCGGACGGACACCTGGGTTATTCTGGCATCAGCCACATGCAGCCTAAATTTTGCCCTTGCCTCAGAAGTGGTTACATTTCACTTGAAAATGTACTGACAACACACTGCCCTAAACCACAGCCACCAAGGTTAATGGAAAGTGGAGAGAGAGCATCCAGAGGCAAAACAGCAAGAGGTTCAAAGTGACACTGGAGCCCAGACTCCAGAGGCCCACATGCCCCTGTGCCTCTCTCTCCTCTGCCAGTGGGAACCTGGTTTTCACGGGGGAAAATGGTGAGCTGCGTAGGGGAGGCCGCTCTTCAGACGAGTAGAGAAACCCTGGCTCCCACAGCTGCTGCTGCCAAGCACAAAAGACACATGTACGCTTCTGTTCACTCCAGGAGGAACATCAAAGGGATTAAGTCAAACGTTTGTCGGGAAACACATTAAGAGTTGGTCTCAACTTAGGCTGTACTACGGAAAACGTTCAAAATTCCCTTCCAAGCAACCTAGGTCCTTTGCACCGAAACCACCCTCGAGGGCTTCCCGAACTATGGCATTTGTCATCCCTTAGCTCCAGTGACCAAACGTCTCCTGGCAGAAGGGAAAAGGTTAAGGAGACTCTCGAAACAGTGACCCAAGGGCAGATGGGTGGCTCGAGCAGAAAGCAGCCTGCATGCCAACCCCGCGGGAAAGGGGTGGGGTGCTGTGAGCAGGGTCTCCCAGAATTATCTCCCTGGGGCTTTCATTCTGACCCTGAGAAGCCGAAGGGTCAGGTCTGAGAAAAGCAGCCCGAAGCAGCTCAGTGACAGGCTCAGGGCCCTGGGATGAACCAGCAGGAAGAGGAAACCCCGCTCATGCAGCCGTCTTTCTCTCTCCTGCCACCTCCGGGGGTGGGCATGTGGGTGCCGGGCTCCAGCAGGAACAGCACGGAGCTGGGAGCTGGATGGACAGCCCCCGACAGATGTCCACCCGGCCAGCACTCACCACTCCCGGGTGCTGCGTATGCCCTTCCGAACAAGAAGAGCTGCTGATCCTGACCCCTTGCCCTCGCCCTACACACCGCCGGGGCTGCATACACGCTCACCGGGTGGTTGGGAGCTGGGTGCTCGGTCCTGCTGGATGTCTGCCTGGGGATCGCTAAACCAGAGAATTGTCTGACCTCTGCATCTCAGCGTGTTTTCTCATCTCCCCGCCCTGCATCCCTCCTGGGGCCTCGCACAGCCCTGCTCGGGTCAGTGTCAGGGCTCCCACGCCAACCCTGACCGTGACCCCGAACCTGACGGTGACCCCTGATCCCGACCCCGACGTGCGCGTAAGGAGCGACTGGATGAAGGAGGCAGATGCACCGGGCTTGGTGAGTGATCCCCACGTGCACCGTCGCCACGGGGACCGGGGACCGCGCTGGCACGCACCGAAGCGCTTCCGGGTCCACCAGTGCGGCTCCTTGATGGCGGAGAACTTCACTTCCGGGTGCAGCCGCAGGCGGTCGTAGAGGTCGGTGGTGCCGCACTTGGGCTGCCCGATGATGTAGAAGTGCGGCAGGCAGCGGAGGCGGAAGTGCTTGCCGTGCGCGTGGGACAGGTGGCCCCAGAAGGCCTTGCGCAGGGCGTCGAAGGTGGAGCGGAAGCGCTTGGAGTAGAGCACGTAGGAGTTGGTCAGGTAGGGGTCGGTGGTGTTCCTCCCCGTGAACTCCTCGTACCAACAGGGGCTCTTACTGTTGGGGAGGAATTTGTGCGGGATGACTGAAAACATCTGCAGTCAAAAAGACAAAAAGGGGGAGAGACGCACCGAGGGGAAAACATTAGCACAAGCACATTCTGTCCACAGTATGATCCTGTCCTGAGACTTATTACAGCGTTCACATTGGAAGTATTATTGGATGATGACTAAATACTAAAACAAAGCAAAACTTGGTAAACAGCCAACGACCATGCTTTTCCTTAACCCCCAAATAAAAATAAAATTTGGAGAGAATGAAAATAAAAGTTCAATCAAACTCCCTTCTACCATGATTTATTTTGCACACACACACACACACACGCACGCACACAAGAGTTGGAACTTTTGACTGTGTAGCTGGATATTTAAATGGCCGTTAGAGGCAAACAATGTGATTAGGACAGACAAGAAACAAGATGACGGTAATCTACAAAAGCAACTTTAACTGCCAGGGCCACATTTCAAGCAAAAAGTCCTGGAAAGGAATTATTAGGAGGGGCGTCCTTCAACATTGCTTGCTGCGCCATTCAGTACAGAATTCCCTTCTCTGGGCTAACAGCGTGGACACGGACCTCCCAGTGAACTCTCATCCATAAGGCTGTCAAATTACCATTGCTACACTTGAGAAATTTTTGGTCATTTTCTTCCCAAAGGTGGTGACAGGAAAGGAAGCAGCAATTTTTAAAACATCAGTCCACAGAAATGAGCACCAGGCTACTCACGTGCAATTCCTGCTTCTTGAGATCTTCCACGTCTGGGAGCTGTCTGGTTGTGAACTCAATCCTGGCTGTGATGCTGTTGATAATTAATTTAATGCTTGGATCGTCCTTCACATACGAAATATTATTTACAGAGGGCTGGTGATGATGCTCTTTTGTGTCACTCGGATTTTCACTATCCATCAAGCTGGGATTGCTGGGGAGGGCTCCGTAATGGAAAGGCGATGAGAGCAGAAGCTCCTGGTGGACCCCAGAAAGGATGTAAGAAGCCATCACCAACGTCATTATTATCAATCCAAAAACGAGGCTGCATCGCTTCCCCTTCTTGAAGCGCAAAAACCCACTCCAGCTCTCATTCCCTTCAGCTCTCACTTCGAGAACGGCAAGCAAGTTCATCTGCTTACCGTCCACTCGAAACACAATTTTGTTTTCTCCTTTGCACATGGGGCACTCCTGGCGACTGTGATGGGGGCCTCCTCGGCAGCTGACCTGCTGTGTGTGTGCTTCGTCCGGCAACAGCTGGATGCAGCAATTAATGCAGTGCCTCATCGTAATGCCCTTGGGCTGCCGGCCCACCAAGCCATGGGCGAGCCCCCAGGGAGTCCGGATGCCTGCAAGTCGTGCTGGCAAACTTCAAGGACGTCTCGTGATCACATACGATGGTTGAAAGGCACAAGCAACAGAAACAAATATAAAAATGATCAGGCGCTAAAACACCAGAGAATGAGGAAGCGTGTTCTTTGGTTCGACTCCGAAAGACAGCACGAATGATCTCCAATTATCATGGTCTGTAAGAGCCACTGCAATCCTGGAAAAAGCCACAAGGTCGGGAGCAATTCTTCCTGTCCTTCAGGTTTTTCCCATGGCACCAAATGAAGTGGAGGAGTTCTCACTGGAGAACATGGGAACACCCAAGGGATTAGAAGATCTCATGGCCTCAATGAAGGATGGATTGGCGCACCATCCACACAGAGTCCATGAAGATTTCTTCTTTTACAGCCTGTGTTCCTTTGAAATGTTTCCTCTTCAAAATCTTTAAGATGTCAGATTGCCTAAACAACAAAGAAAAGAGGTTTTATTACATTATGTGATGATCGCAATAACCCTGGGACCATCTTCCAAGGAGAGACGTTCACGCTTCTTTTCCACTTCTTAATATTAGCCAAGCTGACTGGGTCACAAGCAAGTTACAGAAAATCATATGGGATAAAGGGAGAGGTTTCGGGTCTCTGGTGCTTGGCTTTGGAGTTCAGTCTCTGCCTCCAAATGTGGCCCCAACACCAGCGTCACCAGCACCATATTAAACGCCTCCTACTTTGCACAACCCACATATTCTGTTATGCCTTTGCCTTGACACATCTAAGTGACTGGATCCCCCCATCCCAGGACTCGCAGTCATTCTCAGATTCATGCACAGTCAGACTATGAATTTGAGGGATGAATTGAAATATCAGTGCTGTTAAGTCAACAAAAAATCCAAGAAGGAGGATGTTTAGGGTGGGAGCAGGCAGAGAAAATGGTTTTTACTCTCCCAGTAGCACCAGTAGTCTCTTAACCTAGAGCTAACATTTATTACTAGTTTAGGATGCAAAAGTTAATGAAAATTTAGAAACACTGAAGTGATTCTCTCCTTCAGTAGAATGTATCATATTAAAAACTTTTTTTGACTTTAAGTAATTAAGCAATTAAATCCAACGTGCATTATTCCCCTGAGCAACAGAACACTTTAGACCCTAAAACAATTGTTCACTTTCATCATCCTGGGGAAAACATGATTCTTCAAAATCCATTAATAGAATCCTGCGGTTATAAAATGTATTGTTGCCCAAATGACACTTCTTTGTGGATGTTGTAAAAACAGCAAAAAAGGAGACCTACTTAGTTTCCAGCAGTGGTATAACAATGCTAACTAGCTAGCTATGTGACCTTGAGCCAGCCATATAACCTCTCTGAGCTCTCGTTTCCTCACCAGTCAAATTAGGATAAAAAGTACCTCCCTTTCAAGTGTGTAACAGGTACTGTATCAGCTAATGCATGTGAAGACTTTGCATAATGCCTACACATATTTAGCATCCCATAAAAGGTCGATAACATGAATAATAATAGCATCATCAATGACTATTACTCTTATTTTTTAATTGTCAATGAATGCCAAGAACATCTGAAGTGGAATCAAGGATGGGTAATCCCATCCCATTATTTCTCCTTAGCACCTCAGAATTACCCAAGGGTGGCAGACTCACCTCCAATTCTGCATACACACACCCCTCCAACAATCCTAGAGAAGGTGATATTAACTAACCCTGCGTTAAGCCCCCTCTCACATTGGCTGAAAGGCTGAACAATCAGAACTCACCAGCAGAAATATTCCCTTCCCTTGGACTGAAAGGCCCATGTTTTGTCAAAACACAATGACCAAGAAATAGCCAGGCGGTTTCCTAACATATCTTCCACAAAATGTCCTGCGTGTTGTCGATAGGTCTTCAGTGCTTAAATTACCTGGAGAAAAGGTGACGTGGACCAAATTACACAGACTTCTTTAGAGTAGGACTTTTCACAGGAGAAGAATATAATACACAGCGTTTCCAAAACATAATTGGCCAAAGAACTCTCAATACTGTCTCAAGGAAGCAGTCTGAGGAATGCTAGTGAGCAAAGGCTGAGATACGGGTCACAGCAGTTCTGAGAACCGCAGAGGAGCAGGGGCTGTGGGAGGGTTCGGCTGGAACCAGGCCAGTGCCTCAGGCCACCACCCGCTCATCCCAGAGAGCAGTGGGAGGACGTGCTGGGAGCCTCAAGGCTCAAACCTCTGCCCCCAACTTGTTCAGCCACCCCTGACCCATCACTGGGTACAAACAATTCTCCCCAACAGGAGAAACAACAGGGCAAGCTCCCCTACTTGGAAACCCCCTCACTAGGCCAAGAAAACATTTTTCACACGCCAAAAACAAGGCCACGTGGGGTTAAAATGAGGCTCCAACCAGCATCGCAGTGGGGAGCCAGTCGCACCCTTCTGTCTCTCTGGCTACAGGAGGCCTAATTCAATTTTTTTCCAAACATGGTCTTTGAAGCTCCAAGACAAGAATGTACAAAATCTGGACCCAACAGGATGGGCAAAACATTCCTCGACAAGAACAAAGGTTTCCTCTGACAAGCAAAATAAACAAATAGACCTGAGTAGGCAGAGACGCGGGACCAAGAGGCCTCAACCAAGAGGCCTGGGACGTGGTGAGCCAGAGGATTTGTCCCCTGGGCAGGCTGTACCCTCCAGCCAGACCTCCCCCTCCACGTCTCATTTTTTTTTTTTTTTTTAACATCTTTACTGGAGTGTAATTGCTTTACAGTGATGTGTTAGTTTCTGCTTTATAATAAAGTGAATCAGTTATACATATGCATACGTTCCCATATCTCTTCCCTCCTGCGTCTCCCTCCCTCCCACCCTCCCTATCCCACCCCTCCAGGCGGTCACAAAGCACGGAGCTGATCTCCCTGTGCTATGCGGCTGCTTCCCATTAGCTGTCTACCTTACGTTTGGTAGTGTATTTATGTCCACGCCTCTCTCTCGCTTTGTCACAGCTCACCCTTCCCCCTCCCCATATCCTCAAGTCCGTTCTCTAGTAGGTCTGTGTCTTTAGTCCTGTCTTACCCCTAGGCTCTTCATCCCGCGTCTCACTTTTTAAATGTAAAACGGGGAGCAGAGAACTGGGGAGACAATTCCAGATGCCTTAAGGGCCTCAAAGAAACACTCTCCTATAATTCATTCATTCCTCCCTTCTGTGATTCACCAGATCCCTTCTGAAGGCAGATTGTGCACTGGGCACTGCCCGAGATGCAAGTCCAGGTGTGGAGGCCTGAAACCAGAATGTGATGGGGGGTGTGATGTCATAAAAAATACGTATTCGGTCTTTGTCGCCTGCTCCTGGTGCAGAGCTTCTAAAAACCTTGGAACTTCCTGAGTGATAGGGTTGACAGGGACAACACCTTTTGTTATTCATAACAAGCCCCTTTCAACCACACCTCAGTTTATGCTTGTGAGGTGACTATTGCTGGGGCCCCCAGACAGCTTCAGGATGGGGCTGGTAGCCAGAAAGACCAAACCTTGATTAGAAGCTTGGAACTTTCAGCCCTGCCTCTCCAATCTCCAGGAAAGGGGGAAGGGCTGGAGATTGAGTTAATCACCGATGGCCAAAGATTTAATCACTCGTGCCTACACAATGGAACCTCCATAAAACCCCCTAAATGACAGGATTCCGAGAGCTTTCTAGTGGGTGAGCTCATGGCAGTGCTGCGAGGGTGGTGCAGCCAGAGAGGGCATGGAAGGTCCAAGACCCTCCCCGCAGACTGCCCCGTGCATCTCCTCCAACTGGCTGTTCTTGTATTATCTCTTTTGTAATAGTCAGTAAGGCACTTTCCTAAGTTCTGTGCATCATTTTGGCAAATTATGGAACCTGAGGAGGGGGCTGTGGGAACCTCTGAATTTGCAGCCAATTAGGACAGAAGTGTAGGTAGCCTGGGGACCCAAGACTTGTGACTGGGGCCTGAAGTGGGGTCAGTCTCAGAGGACTGAGCCCTTGACCCGTGAAGTCTGTGCTAATTCCGGGGAGTTACTGTAAGAATTCAACTGAATTGTAGGACACCCAGCTGGTGTCTTAAGAGTTGGAGATTTTGTTG